GCTGCTTTTTTGAACATTTTAGCAATTTAAAAATATTAAAAAAGGATTTTTTACACGGCACCCCTGCTCTCGACACACGTGGCACCCCGGTTAGGAAGCACTGCTCTAAATAATGCCGCGAGTGGGGCTTGAGGAAGTGACGTTACTGACCTGATGCAGCCCCTGAAGTGAGACACAGGAAACAGAAATACTGCAAAATAATAATAATAACGCGACTAACCGAGACGAAATAACGTTATAACATTTAGTTTCGTCTCGTTTTGGTCAACGAAAATAGTCATAATTTTCGTTGACGAAAGCAACACTAGTGATAAGCTTCCTTTCTGAATGCATTCTAAAAATGCATTATACAATAATTTCCGAATATCTTTCCAAAAATGTTTTCAAAATTAATTAGTTAAACCATCTATACCTGGTGATTTACTATTATTCATTTGTTTTAAAGCTACATCCATTTCCTCCAAAGTCAACTCATCATCAATTAAGAATTTGTCTTCCACATTCAGTTTATGTACTTTATCTCTTATAATCACAAATAAAAAATCACAGTCAGCTTTTTTATAATTGGATTTATAAAGTTTAGTATAGAAAAGTAAAATTTCATTTTGAATTACTTTTTGATCATCTGTTATAATTTCATTAATCTTAAGCTTACAATTTTTTTTCTTTGTTTGTCTTTGTTTTTCAAGGCCGAAAAAATATGATGAACTTTTTTCTCCTTTTTCAATCCACCACGCCCTTGATCGAATATAAGCTCCATCTGCTTTTTCTGAATACAACTCATCTAGTTGAGATTGCATTGACTGTAATTTTGCAGAATTTTCTGGTGATTCTTGAGTATTAAGTGCCAGTGAATTTATTTCCCCAATCAGTTCCCTTTGTTTCTGTTTTCTCCTCACTGATAAAAATTGGCCTATATCAATTGCTATTTGTTTAAGCTTAAATTTAAACCATTCCCATTTATGTAAGTTAGACATATCTAGCTTTTCAGTCTCCTCAATGACAGCCAACACCTGTTGATAAAATTATCATTCTTTAACAAGTCATTATTAAGCTTCCAAATATTAGGAGAAATTTGATATTTCTTAAACACTGCTAAGGACAGAGTAACCATACAGTGATCTGTAAGTGGGGCAGCTGTAATTTTACATTCCGAGACAATTTTACATAGTTCACAAGAAATAGGCCAATAGTCTAATCTCGAACATTGTCCATTTCCTGAGGGGTTAAACCATGTATGCTGAATACTATTTGGGTTGGATACCCTCCAGTAATCAACAACATTTACAGTTTTACAAAAATTCAATATAGTATCATTATACGCAGAATGTGAACCTCTTTGAGGTCTCCTATTAGGAGTCACCCTAAGTCACCCGCTATTATCACATTTCTGCATTATATATTTTTTCCCATTCATTAACCAAATAACCAAGTTTCTCAAACATTTCTCTATTAGCCACTTTGTTATTATAACCATAAATACAGAGTAATATACAACATTTGTCATGAATTTCTACTACAATCATTAACCAGTGACCTTCTGTGTCCCCTTTATGAACAATTACAGAGCCTTCAAATCTGTTAAATAATATCATCACTCCAGCTGAATGTGAAGATCCATGTACAAACAAGGCTAAATCACCCCATTGAATTTTCCAAAGTCTTTCATCATCATTCATCATTCATCAGCTTTTTGTTCCTTGCAAAATAAAAAATAGCTTTACGCTTTGTAGTACATAAAGGTACATTCAGTAATTCTTTAGCTAGCATTAACATTGCTGTTCTTCTGTACTTTAATGGTTAGATGTTGCACTGCCATCTATTGGCGTGGTTCACCATCATTCCCTTGCCTTTCCAACAAAAAAAATAAGCTACTTGTTGGTGCCTATCATAATAATAAAAAAGAAGCAACTTAGGGATCACTACTATCACTGTTTTCTCCGTCATAAAATCTTTTCATCTTGTGTATGCCGTATTGATGTTTGCGTTTGTTTGTTTTTTTTTGTCTTTGTCAGTCTTTCTGTCTTCTTGCTTCAGTCCTTTTCTGTTTCTTCAGTCGCACAGGTTCTGATTCTCTCAATGTTTTTGCTGGTAAAGCATGATAATCAGTGTGTTCTGTTGCTTCACTCTTCGCATCACCAAACAACACTACTGTAGCGCAGACAGTGATCTTGAGGATTTTCTCTGAACTTCAGTGAAACATTGCGGGACACGTCATTTCAGCATGGCAAAATACATTAAGAGGGGTGACCTATAATTATAACGCTTTTTTTATAGAAAACTATCATAATTACAGTATCTTCACAGAAATGTTATTTATTTCTTAATGTGAAACACTTTTAAATGTAAATTCAGAATAAATATTTCACTTAATGCCATTTGGCTAGAATGCTGAAAACACACGTAACAAACGTAGCGATATCATATGCGCCATTACAGACAGTGCAAATGAACATTACAGTGTTGTTGTACTCTGTATCAGGAGTCTTGGGACGCAGCTTGGCCAATCAAATTCGAGGAGTGGAACTATTGTATAAAAACAATGTTAAGCTTTGCATCTATTTGTCTATTTATTTTTGTTTTGTTATTTTTAAGTATATTACATATCTGTTGTGTTACTAGGCATGACTACTCGAGCTGAGCAAGAGATGTCAAGAGGGAAATGGGCTGTGAGTATATTGCTTGTGTTAGTTTTAAATGATATGAAAAACTGAACTTCTGCACTTAGAGACATTTAAATTACTGGTGTGACGATAGTTGGCTCTACTGAGTTTGTGTCAGTGTGTAGCAGTGAATGTTATTTTAGGGAAGATTTCTCTTGATGAGAGCACTTGGATTAGTTAGATCGTTCTTTATCTATGTTTGTGTGTAAGAGTGCAAAAGTGAATAAATGACACAGTTACTGAAAGACACAGTAGTTGACTTGCAGAGAGAGTTTTTCTTCCTTTGTCACATGATCAGCTTTTCTAATGTTTCTAATGTTTACCAGTTCTCTCAGTAACCTCAGCTGGTTTATTAAAATAGGGCTGCCAGGATGCCAGATTTTGATTACACAATTATTGTGGCCAAAGGATTTCAAAATAGACGTCTTATCGCACATCTGTAGAACTTTTGGAAAAACAAGTACAAAACAAAAATGTTATCAGTCAAATTCATCTTTAACTTTGTTTATTTTGTGTTTGATCATTTTTGGCCAATTAATCACACTGAAAATACAAGTGGTCCTACAACAGGTCCTAACTCACTTTTTTGTTGCATCAGACAGCAGCCAATGAGCTTGCTGCTCAACATTCAAATACTTGTCCTCCACCTTCCCCAGCTCCACCTGTATAGATCTTCTACGGGGTTATTTCATGTATGCTATATGTGCAGCAGCAGTATTTCTTAGATGCTCACAGCAGCATGTCATGTGTATGTATTGGCAGGAGTGTAGAACATCTATTCCGGTAACACCAAATACTCTATCTCTAAATGGACTTGAAGCTTGGTGTTTTACCTTTATCAAAAAGATGCACTGTAAATAGGTTGCTGTAAATTTTACAGTAACTTACTGGCAGCTGGATGCCAGTAAGTTTCTGTAAAAATGTGTACAGTATTATTACTGTAATTGCATTTACAGTACAATAATGTCTTTACTGTGTTTTATTTACAGTATTACCGTATTTTCATTTACAGTATCAGTACTGTAGAGTTTATTTTAATTTAGTTTAAACATTTTTTACCTGTAAAAAACAATCCAATTGTGGTACTGCACTGTAAACCATGATTTTTACCATCCCAGCCCCCCCCAAAAATCACAATAACTCATGAGCTTTAGTTCTGATAATATTATTTTTGATTGTTGAACATTTTCTTTTTAAAAGTACAAATTACAAATCTTGACCTCTCAGATGCACTAGCTTAAAAAAAAGGGCATCACCACAGTCCCCCGGGGACTTTGTATCATGGAAAAACATACACATACTGAAAAGCAAAAATTGGCAAGTACACTACAAGTCAAAAGTTTTTGAACAGTAAGATTTTTCATGTTTTTAAAGTCTCTTCTGCTCACCAAGCCTGCATTTATTTAATCCGAAATACAGCAAAAGCAGTAATATTGTGATATTTTACTACTTAAAATAACGAGTTTCTATTTGAATATATGTTCAAATGTAATTTATTCCTGTGATCAAAGCAAAATTTTCAGCTTAATCACTCCAGTCTTCAGTGTCACATAATCCTTCAGAAATCATTCTAATATGCTGATAAACATTTTTTAATATTATTATCAATATTTAAAACAGTTGAGTACATTTCTTTCAGGATTCTTTGATGAATAGAAAGATCCAAACATCAGCATTTATCTGAAATGAAAAGCATTTGTAACATTATACACAATACCATTCAAAAGTTTGGAGTCAGTATAATTTTTTTCTTTGGGAAAAATGCTTTAAATGCTATAAATTGATGATAAAGACATTTAGAATGTTACAAAATATTTCAATTTCAGATAAATGCTGTTCTTCTGAACTTTCTATTTATCAAAGAAACCTGAAAAAAATTCTACTCAGCTGTTTTCAACATAATAATACAGAAGAGACTTCTTTAAGAAACATTAAAAATCTTACTGTTCAATAACTTTTGACTGGTAGTGTAAATAAAATACAGTAAAAATTAGTTTGTGGCGTTGTGTTAAATTTCAGTCATTTTGACAGTCAAAGTAGACAAGCTCTCCGATGATAAACAGCAGGATGGGATTCAGGCTGCTCCCTCTTTCCAAAATTCCAGCTGATCTGTGACTTTCAATGCGTTTGGTGCCACAAATGTTGACTGTCTGAATGAACCTGCAAGCACAAGAAAAAAAACATTATTTTTCAAAGCAGTGTTTACAGAATTTGCCTCGACTGTCAAACTTGTTGGTGCTGTATGCACTTTGACGTTAATAAAATGTTATATACTTCATCTGAACGCACCTTCAAGGAAGGTACATAATTAGCTGATAATCCATCATATTCAAATTATTAAAGCTCCATTTTTTACAATGCATTCTCAGTCAGTAGCGCAAAGTGCTGAAATAATGGGTTTGATTCTAGGGGCAGTTCTACAGTGAGTGGATATCCGGGGCTTAGCCCAGAAACATTAATGCATGTATCAGAATACACGGGATACACTTCAAATAAAATGGGCTATGCTGAAAAATTACATTGGCTTAGTGGCTTAATTTTTTATTTTTAAAGAGACAAATATAATTAATTATAATTTGCACTTACAAATTGCATAAATAATATTACAATGTTTCCCACAAACTTGCATTCTATTTGTGGTGGCATATATATGCAGACTCATTCTCTGCCAGCAGGAGGCGCTGTTGGAGTGGTAGAGATCGAGGTTTCCCCGGTAACGCTGTACACAAAGCAGAGCTCCACTCACAAACACTGCATTATCAGACATTACAAGCAAGAAGAAATGAAAATGAGTTTCCTTCAGAAATACAGTGATATAAAAACACCCGCACCGGGTTTCGATTTTGAAACGTGCAGTGCTCATGTTTATTCAACATGTGCTAGCATGTTCCTCTCTTTAAAAAGTCAACCTGTTCTGTGAATTAGTGGAGAACAGCAGCTAGATGAAACATGCAGTGCTCATGTTTATTCAACATGTGCTAGCATGTTCCTCTCTTTAAAAAGTCAACCTGTTCTGTGAATTAGTGGAGAACAGCAGCTAGAGGCTAATTTAGTAACATTAACGTTAGTTAAAGGTGCAATAGGTGATTGTCTTCAGAAACATTTTTTGTTATGCTGGTTGAAAGTCTCTTCACATCACGATAGCAATCATTAAGTTAAGTGGTCTAAATGTATTTATCTGTATTTATATATTCTGTGGAAGGCGTAGGACCAAGAAATGTTCGTCCAGTCAAAACGCTCGGTCCGAGCGTTTTAATTGGCTTTCCTACCTGCCTGTCAACATATGTATTTGCATACTTCTGCGCACCCTGTTCGTACAGACAGGATACGTCATCAGCGCGTTCACGCACATTAACAAGCCGATCTTCCTTCATGGTTTTGTAGTACTTTTACTAACTGTACTATAAAGTTTTCTCACCGGTGAATGACACATGACGCCCAGCGGTTTCCAATTCCAGTCCTCGCGCAAGGGAAGCAGCGGAAATCCGTTGAAGTTTACTTCACTTCGGAACATTCATTCACGGATTTGCACTGCGCACCGTCTTCACACAGACGAAACTTACTAGAGAAGTGACATAATATACCTCCCAAGATCTCCTACTGCACCTTTAAGCTTATGAAAGCTCACCTGTTGTTAGCACCGCTACGATGGCAATCACAAGACTCAAATACACCTCCGATGCAGACGACATGACCACAAACTTGAAAATAAAATACAAAAGATGTTCTTAACAGTGGTGTTTCTTAACTCAGTTTTTCTCAGTAGGTTGTTAGCTCGCTGCTTTATGTTAACGTTACGTCTGTCACTGAATTTAGGGACCGTCTCTAAAGTTACATACGACATTGGTACACACTTTCTGACTTAAATAGCATTTGAAGAGAATTACCTTACTTGCGTTTAAAATCTCCACTGAAACAGTGGCTTGCCTAACGCACTTTACCACAGTATTTCACGTTAATTCGCTGATAAGGTTAAATAACGACTCGCCAGAGGAGCTAACTTGCATTAAAGGGCAGCAGAACATACAAACGTGTTTCTCGGTTTAACTAAGGTTTATTTAGACTAATATAGGTGACCTTAACTTACTCACCAGTCGATGTTATCAGCCTTTTGGCGGCATTCCGGCCGTCAGTCAGAAAAAAAGGCTCCAACTCCCGACATGAAAAATGACACGATGAATAATGTTAGTTTGCTGTTAACAAGTGAAAACATCTTAAAATATGGCAGTTTTGCATAAAACAGAAATAATATACTAACCTTTCGTCAACAGTCAAATCCCTTGCCATTGGTCAGTTTTTCGCGGGCAAGTTCACTACTGTAAATTGATTTACAGTATACAGTAGGTAGTAAATTGATTTACAGTAGTGAGGAAATACAGTAGTGACCGTATATTTTCCCATAATCCTTTGCGGTTTACAGTAAAATACTGTATACACATTTTACAGTATCTTACTGTACATATTACAGTATAATACTGTTCAAAT